ATCTGCAACATGCAGTCGCAATCGGCATCCAGACCTTCCAAAGCGGCAAGCTGCTCGCTGGCGAGGGTGGAGACCTCCCAGTTATAAGTTATGCGCTTGCTCGACTCACGCTTCTTGTTCGTGAATACAAGGAGCTGGTCAAGGATGGTGAGGACAGCTCCGGTCGCCGGATCGGCATGTCGATCGGACCGGAAGTTGCGGTTCGTGAACTGATTGGCATCACGCACGATGACGTCCACCTGGTCTGCCACGGCCGTGATCAAAATCTTCGTAACGGCGTTCTTACCGGCCGTAATACCTGACTGGAAAGTATGGGCATTGACATGAAAGGCGCAAACTCGAAGTTCAGGCATGTGCGTGCGCTTGCAGTCGTCCAAACTCCCGGTCCGGAATATCGGACACTCGTGGAACAAGGTTGGGGAAATGCCAGCGCAAACCCCAACCACCTTGAGGCATTCAGGGGGCGCAGCATCGACCGCGACAAACAAACCCCCTTCTCCAAAAAATTTGGCCCGCTGCTTTACAAACAAGCTCGCGCAACAAAACAAGTGCCTTGCCAACTGCTGGTTGCAATGCGCAGTGCGTTTGTCGGAATTGCTGACCCAAACTATGCCTTGCGGCAGTCTAGTTGCACAGGTCTGGCCAAAGCATGATTGAGGATGAGCTCTCTGTCCAGCAAATCTGACGCACATACATACCGCATCGGGATTGGGTCACAAAATGTGTTGGGGCCTCTTTCTCTGAAGCTGCGGAGCAGAATAGGAAAAAGGCAATTGAGAGTTCTGCGTGATATGGAACAAACATATGGCTGACGGCACCTCGTTTGCGCAATTCTGCAGCCACAGCAGTGGCGAAAAGAGGTGCTCCAAGCACTGTGCAGCCAAGCCTGCATGGAGAATCACCCAGCTCTTTCTCAAGGAAATGACACAGAAAACGCAATGACTGCCTTACTTCCCTTTGTTCTTTTTGGTCCACGTGACGGGAAGGGGTCGCTCTCATGCAGCGGCTGCCAGGAAGTGTAGGAGACACAACCCAAGGACAAAGACAGCTGCAGCTGGCCATTTGCATCAACTTTTGCCACTTGTATGCCTGGAGCAAGCACTTGGCACATTGCGTGCGTATATATGTATATATGTATGTATATGTCTATATACTTTTTTGGTGAACGTGTATATATATATATATATGTCGAGGCCACGGCTGATGGCCACGTCCAAAAAGTGCGAAGTTCAAGCAGGTCTTGATTTGTCAAAGCAAGGGTTCGGACACTTTTTGGCGGCACGCACCAGGATGCGCCAGCATCCTCGCAAGCACAACGTACCGTCAAGGAAGTGAAGCGGCGAAAGGGCTCCAAGCCTCGGAGAAAGTGTGCTGTCTGGGCCCCACGAAGAGCCACGCAATTCCAAGACGTCAAGGTTCAATCAGAGGCGGCATAATCTCGAACCCCAGTTGCTAAAAAATCGGAGAAATAATGACAAGTTCCCACGCCCTGAATATACTGTTGGCCCCAGGGAAAATATCCAATCAACTTAGTTTTCTATTGTTCTCCTATTGCTGCCCTCAAAACTCCTGGTTTAACTCTTCTGGCGACCGCCGGCCCTCACTTGCTAAAGCAAGAACAACTCCAGCTAGCTGGCGCTAGCTTTCGTGAAAATGACCATTAACTGCCAAGGAACAAATCATCCAAGAAGCTTTCTATCTTTCATGATATTTTCTAGACCTATATAGCGACGGACATGTACTTAGACTAGATTATTTTTCCAAAACGACGACCCCTCACTACTTTAAACACGCATGTTCTAAGCGTGCACTTGTGGGACATCCGTATGAGCAGAACTGAAGACACTTGGAACATCCGTCTGAGCAGAACTGAAGCGGTGACATATCAATAGCTATAAATAGATATATCAATTCCGCCCCATTCCGTGCTCTGAACAGAGCACTACGCATTCATTCCCAAAGGCAGCTGCGAGCGCACCTGTCCTTTTCCTTCCTGAAGACGTGGGTAAGTGGAAGGTTGGATCACCGGCTCAAATTCATTGATCACTGAACAGACAGGATAGAGCTCAGAACTTGTGTTCGCAGAACGAACTCCCTCAACTGTCAAGCACCTTCTGACCCGTCAAATTCAGGATGACTCTTGTCAGACGCTGCCATCGGCAGACGAAACAGCGGATGACACCGCACAACAAAAGGCAAACTGAATAGACGGCCAATTGCGAAGGAAGAAACCAAATCTACAGCGATCCGCTGAAAAACAATCGCTCCATCCATTTCGACCATATCAGGCTTACATTGGCGACTGGGCAGTCTGAGCAGACTGAGTCGAAGAGCAAAATACAGAATGAGCATCCGTTCTGAACTACTGTCATCTTGGCTGTGCGGCGACAGTGAGCACCGTCCAACCCCATCGGTCCAGGGATCTTGGACCGACAGGGTGGGTGGGTGGGAGAAAAAAAGACCGGTGGAGCTCAAGATCTTGAGCCAAAATGGCATTGAACAACGCCATCTTGACAAATGGTAACTAAGTGATCGATCGAACGAATGCTGAATGAACCTCAAATTGACCTACTCGTCCGAGACCTACCAACCGAAGATGAGGCACCCAATTCCGTCCCATTCCGTGTTTTGAACAGAGCACTGGCACTACGCATTCATTCCCAAAGAAGAAAAAGAAACAGCAGCCGCGAGCGCACCTGTCCTTTTCCTTCCTGAAGACGTGGGTAGGTGGAAGGTTGGATCATCGGCTCAAATTTATTGATCACTGAACAGAGAGGATAGAGCTCAGAACTTGTGTTCAAAGAACGAACTCCATCAACTGTCAAGCACCTTCTGACCCACGCCGTTGTTCCTCAGTTCTGGGAACTCAGCAGGCACTGTCTTCCACCCTAGAGAAGCAACGCCTGCGTCCATCTTATCTCTGGACGGCGGATCCGCCGGGTTTGCGTCGGTTGACACACGAGTCACACGATCGATGCATGTACAGACCCGCGCTTCTAACGCGAGCCGGCAAAAGACACCCGTGAGCTCGCACATATCTTCGCGAGCCGAGTATCCCTTGACCAAAATGCACCCGGAACTGGTTTGGAATCCACGAGCATTAAAATCCACTGGTTATCGATCTCGCTACGAAACGTCTCGAGAGCGACAACCACTGCAAACATCTCAACCGTTGCAATTTGGGATTTCCAGGGCAGCCATTTGTCTATAAAGTCCTGACTGACCCTAGCAGTCCTAGCACCGAACTGGAGGGGTTGCTTGCCTTTAGCAAAAAAGAACACCTCCTATCCAAGGGAACTTTAAACTATCAGATCGGCCTTCGGGAAAACTGCCATCAGTAAAAATGACGGCGTCCGGCATTCTGGCTTCGAGCTCATTGATCTGCCTTGGAGGACCTTCCCGGATGAGCACGAGCCATTCTCTCAGTGAAGCCTTTAAGGCCTTGTTGAGATTTGTCATGGGAGCCTGAGAGTATTGTCTTTCAGACAAACTCCTAAGAAAAGCCTTGCCAATCTTGCCCCCCTTTGAGGTCAAGATCCCCTAGTTCTTGGATTGGCTCGAGGTCAACTCTGAGAACGAGTGCGAGAACTCGATCATTATGGTCAACGATCGTGACTGGCGGATGGTGTCACCATTTCAACCGTGGCTGACCAAACAAATTATGTCGAATGCTACCAGCTCCATCAACGTTCTGACTGAACATGATCAGGTCACGCCGCCAAGTTCTGGTTTTCACCTGTCGTTGTTTGCACACTGGACGGGATCAAGGCAGTTCTGCTTGACCGTCGGTATGCTCGCTCTTCAGGGCAGTCACTCCGGGTGTGTTCGCGGCTCAGAAATGGTTCAATGAGACCACAGCCACGATCGAGGAGCTGGATCTGCCGCCAGGCGCCAAGCCCGGTGCCAGCTTCCCTATACTCCGTCATCGGCGGCTCAGGGCCCTGGCCCTGTGACGTTGGGCCCTTCGGCCGCCAGCCAGTGAGATTGGCTGATCAGCTGAAGGTTGCCGTTTTTCCAACTGGCCAGATCGAGCCAGGTTCGTTTTTGTTAGTGTGAAAACCAGGGGCCGTGTGCGTTGCCATCGGAAGCATTGATCTAACTTTGTTCAAGGGTTCATGTATATCGCGTTTACCTTTTCTGTTTTTGGTTTTAAATGTATACATTCGGGTGATACTCGGTCGATCGATCCGAGCGAGTCACAAGCGGGAGGTTGGAGAGAGCTCAAACCAGGCAGGGTCGATCGGCGCCACAGGCCCGGGTCATGTTCTTCCCTTTCTCCTTGTTTTTCTACATCATCCTCGGATCCGCTCGGTTTCTCACCGCCGGTCGGGTTCCATGTTGCCGTTGCTCGCGGCCTCGATCGGCGCACTGCAGGTCAGATCCCCAGAGCGTGGCGGTAGCCAGTCGGTGTTGTCGTTCGACCGTGCGCCGTGCACTCTGCGACTGCCGTTCGGCGAATGCGGTTTCGAGCTCGGGGAGATGGGCTCATGACTGGTCGTTCAATATGTATAGTTTTGTTTAGATGGCTAGGGATCCTGAACGACATTTCGCGCAGCTTGTTCGCATCTTCCACCAATGGATCGCTCGCTCGCCGCGTTCCTGCGACTGCCAAGCTTCGACGAGAAGTTCGTGGATGGGCTGGAGCGCTTGGGTCTGCCACGCTCGGAGTTCTGGTTGACGCTGGACCAAAACGAGAGTGCAGACGAACAGATCGCTCGTTTTGTAGGTGTGGTCGACGTCAAATAACAAGAGATCAAGGACCAAGTGTTGGCTAGGACCGGTTGCGCACCATTGCTCTATCGTATGATTCATAGGGGCTTGGGAGAGGATTTTGGGGCGATTGCCATAAATCTCGGTTTTGAGCCGGAGACGAGATGTCGGGTCCGCTTCTGGGGGTTCGCTGGCAGCTCTCAGGTGTTGGCCTGGCCGCAGATCCACCGGCCGCAAGAAACCTCGGTTGTCGGTCGCCGCGGTTCCAGTCCCATGCATCACTCCAGTCGGAGGAGGAAAAAGAGAGATCACGCTGAGCTGACCGCCTGCGGCTGATCGCCAGGCCGGAGTGCGCGCGAAGATCAATCGCGGCGTTCTGGGCACTGATGCGAGTGCTCAGGATGAAAGAGAGGTGAGATCGATTGTCTTCCAATCGGGAGCCTTCCGGATCCGACACAACGTGCTGGCGTGGGAGGAGATGGAGAGATGGGCGCCTGATCATGGCTGCGCCTACCAACTCACCACTGAGGCGCTCACTCGCTACTGCGTATGGTTGGAGAACCAGTCACGCGGGCCGGCGGTGATCCCGGCTCTCACTTATGCAGTGAAGTGGGTGTGCAAGAGGCTGGCCATGGATCCACCTGACGTGAAAGCTCCGCACGTCTCAGCTCTGATCGAGAAGGTCTACTCGGACCGCAGCAAAGAACTGAGGGAGGCGCCGCCAGTTCCGATTTTAGCAGTCTCAGCGGTCAAATATCTTGTTAACTGCTTGATTTTAGAAGGCAAGATCCCTGCAGCTATTTATTTTTGTCTGGTGGACGCTGATTTGGTTCTATGCGTCACTGCGATGGGACAACGGCAAACACGTTGCCCCATCGTCGCTGAAGTTCACGCCAGACGCCCTGCTGTTTGTGTGGCAGACTACGGTTGAGCGGAAACGCAAGGGTACCAGGTTCGCGGTACCTTTTTGTTCTTTGTCAGGGGTGCCATGGCTCGAGCAGGGTTGGCGAGTTTTTCAGAAATTCATTGATTATCGCGATTTCTTTTGTGGGGTGTGTCCTCCGAAACCAAATTCGATCGGGTTCCGGTCAGTTATCCCGCGCCATGTGGCTCCAGTTTTTCCTCAGACAGGCATCGGAAGTCGCGCACCACGATCGTGTTCTGACCGATGATCAGATCAACGCGGTCGTGCCGCTGTGCGACGAGGTCACGTGGCACTCCATGAGGGTTACGTTGCTCGACGCAGCAGACAAGTACGGGTTCGAACCATCGTCTACGATCGAATCTGCGTACACAGCAGCGCAAGCGGTCCATGTCTGGCTGGGAGCTACGTTCGACCAAAAGAAACTGCAGTGCTCCGATCAACCAACCATTTTGGGGGTTGCATACGATCTCGTCAACACGCAGCTGCTGATCAAACAAGATCGGAAGACAGAGTTGGTGGATGAGATCGTTTCGCTCCTCGAAAGCCGGGCGCTCACCCCCAGGCAAGCAGGAAAGCTCACAACTGTGGTTGTGAGCTGCACTGCCTCTCCTGAGCCCCGGCCACTCGGCCACTGACCTCCTCCACCACGGTGACCACCACGGTCGACATGACCCAGGCCCTCCGAGCGGAGCGATCAAAAAAAAAGACCGGTGGAGATCAAGATCTTGAGCCAAAATGGCATTGAACAATGCCATCTTGACAAATGGTAACTAAGTGATCGATCGAACGAATGCTGAATGGACCTCAAATTGACCTACTCATCCCAGACCTACCAACCGAAGATGAGTCACCATATTTTATATTATATATTGGAGAGGGTACTGCAGGTGGGGCGAAGCTCATTGCTCAAAAGTTGGTATTTGTATGCATGTTCTAAGTGTATTTTTAATGTCCAGTGCTAAGATGTTCTAAGAGCAGTTCTAAGTGTGCACTTAGAACTTCTACCTTTAAAAGTGTTTTCCAAAACTTGTTCTAAGTGATTGTCCGAGACTATAAATGTCTTAAGAAAGTAGTTCATTCTAATTTGTACCAAGTCCATTCAGCAAACTCAACCTACTTTGTCAAGAAGAAGCTGCTGATCAAAGCTAATCCCCTAAGAGTCTGTGCGCTGCGAGACACAAGGGCCGTGAAGCGTCCAATGTTCGGCCAGCCAGTCCTCTACAGCGGGACGCTGCTCATCAGGCACTGCCCCTGCAAAATGGCATGGCCCTTGAGGAGTTACCCGTTGAGGTCACTCTGAACAATTGAACATCCATTGAATGCCTGAAGCTCTACGAGCTGTTCCGGTAGCGAAAACACTCACCGTGGCATATTCCCCAGGCCTCGTCGGAAGTTGCAAAGCAAGCTCCCACAGCGCAGGGCATTGTACACAGCTTGTCCCGTTACAGATGTAGCCCCACTGGCTTTGGTGGTGTTTTGGCACCTGTTGCACCCCGCAAGCATGGCTAGCACCTGCAAGTGAAACAAATCTGAGCGCTTTCAATTGACTGACTGTCACTTTTACATCTTCAATGAGCTGATGGATGATTTGAGGGCCTCTCTTGCAGGCACCGGCGTCATGCCTCCGGGCCCTTTGAGGCCCAAGCTCTTACAGCTCAACGGGCCAATGGCTTCTCGGTGAAGCTTGCGCAGAGGGAGCCCCAAGGCATGAAACATTCGCCGCACCACACGGTTCCGCCCCTCAGCGAGTTCAACCTGCAGGCAAACAAACAAAGTCAAAGACACCAAAATTATCTGGTCTCCACCCTTTTTGGAGAGTTCATAGGAATCAGGAAAGACATCCAAGCCCTTCAATGCCCTTTGAAGATTTTGAAGACCTGCGTTGCCCTTCCCTTTCCCTGGCACCAGAATTTGAAGCTTCTCGGCAGCGTGAGGTTTTCCATCACCGCGCGGCACTAGCTCATGTCCCACGACATGCACGGAGATCGCCCTTGCAAGCTTGCCAGTGTCATCAATGCGCACACCTTCCAGCAGTTGCTGCAGCTGCTCATCAGAAGCGGTAGCTTTGTTGACCTTGGCTAACCCGGCAACGCCCTTCTTTCACCAACCGATTAAGACTAGGATCATATTCAGCTCATGCTCTAGGTTAGCTCTACATGTATTTATTTCAAACTGCGCAGCATTTCTGAACTGGAGCAAGCCTCGGTGACAACATACTTCTTTGTGATGCCTCCTTGGGCCAGAAGGATCCTGTGCAAGTCACCATTGCTTGAAAGTAGAAGCAATCCGGTGGTGCCTTTGTCCAGTCGCCCAATGTGCATTGCACAACTTGAAGCTCCAAGTAGCGGCACGAGACTCTTCGGTTCCTGTGAGTCCATTGTGGTGATGATGTTCTGGGGCTTCCACAGTGCCAGCATGGGAGATTCTGGTGTGCCCACATCAGGAGAAAGCCACGCATCTGCAGAGTCCAAAAGGTCCGTGGCAAGTGTTATTTGCCCGTTAAGGTGGAGCCATCCTTCAGGGAAAATATATTGCTGCAAGGAGCGTGATGAAAGCGAGCTTGGCGAGCTTCGTTCATGTCTTGGCAAGAGAAAACTCAGAGGCCTTGGGACTCTGCGGAGGCTGGTAGCTTGTTCAAGAGTTACCTGCGTGAAACTTCGGCAGCCGCGATGCGTTGGCCGAGAAGCCAATAACACAAACGCCAGGCGGATGGCAAACCTGGCGACTGGACATGTCCAATGACACTGCACCCATCCGCCAAGGACGGGAATCACATCCGAGGTAGAGGCGTCTTAATTATAGTTCAATTAATGTAGTCCCTTGATTTATAAACCCCCCCCCCCTCAACAACCAAGGCCTCCAAAATAATATATATGAAAATCAATCAGTTGATAGTTAAATAAGGAATCCTTAGCTAGCTACCTCTGGAGCTACTCTCGCAATATTAAATTAAAAGGAAATAAGAATTCCTAACTTTGAAGACCTCTGGCAATATTAAATTAAAAGGAAATAAGAATTCCTAAGTTTGAAATTAAAAAAATCCACTACAACTACCCCTCCAAAAAAAAAGGACATTATTCTAGGGGCCTTTATAAATCAGTGCAGGGAAAAAAAAAGACATAATTCTAGGGGGGTTTATAAATCTGAGGGCCACATTATTGAGCCACAGGTTGTTTTAATGGATTGTGTAATTTCTAAGTATTTTGCAGGTGCGGCACGACTCACCCAGGACAAAGTTGCCTGCGACGCTGAGGTAGCATCTGCTGCAACCAGCCGAGCGATTCATCTACAGGCACAAACAAGTGCCAAAAAGAACAAAGTCTGAGCCTGAGGGTTTGTGGTCTCAATGCAGGTGCGCAAACTTCTATCTCCTCTGTCCTTGAGCCGTGTTGGCGCTACAACATACAAAGTGCGCCCTCACAACTGCATGAAGCATCGAGCGAAACTTGTCCAACACCAATCGCTGGCCCAAGAGCTTGAGTTTGCCGAAGCCCCCCAAAGTTCAGCCAGGTGTAGTGCCCACAGCAAGTCACAATTTCACACGCCCGATCATGTGGGAATTGACCAAAGCCTATTGGGCAATGTACTGAACTGTGACACACTTATACAAATGCGTGCTGGCTTGAAAGCGGTCGCCACGCGCCAGCCTAAGTAAGCCGCCTACGGTTCCAGGTGGAAAGTTCGAGATTGAGGCCTCCAAAACCTCTAAAGACAAGAGTGAGCGGCGGCGACAGGGCGGCGACGGGTCGCGCAGGTCTGCGGAGCTCAAAAGGCCCAAAATCAAAGGTGACTCGCCGCTGCACTAGCCCTTTACTGATGGAAACAACGATAAACAACGTAGTATATAGACAGCTTATGCTTTACGTAGGTTTCATTCCACGCACATACCGGATTGATTTCACAGATGCAACACTGGCGTCTTCGTTGGTGCCAGTCCAGTGTGCATTCCTGGCACCCCCTGCTGAGAAAACTCAAGAAACAAGAACAATCCGACAGGATCCCTGTGATTCCAAGCGGCACACACACACGCCTCCCCCCGAGGGGAGGCATTCTTTTTCAATTAAGCTCCGGACAAGAGTGAGATAGGGTGAAAAGATCCTACGAGAAGCGGTGAACCTCGCGAAAAGTCTGGTAGGCCGTCATCGTGAAGACGAGGGGCGGTAGTGTGCAGGGGACGGTATGGAAAAGGGGTTCCCTCACGTGAGAGCTCATGAATATAACCAATGGGGCGGATACTTTTCGAGTTCATCACTCTAAGGCTGCGGCCACGTACGCCGTGCCAAAATGACTGGCTGCTCAGACCGCTCCGGTCACCTAACGGCTTGCTCGAAAAATTCAACAAGTCTTGGCAAATAACTTTGGCGGCCTCCTGCTGTCCGCTTCGGACACCTACGTTCCCGGGCATGGGGAACAACGACCGACTAATTCGACGGGTCCACAGGGGCCACTTTGCGGGGTCACCCTGGGCTTTCACAAGGAGAAACACACTTATAGAAATGCATACTGACTTGAAAGCGGTTGCCACACGCCAGCCTAAGTAAACCGCCTAAGGTTCCAGGTAGAAAGTTCGAGATTGGGGCCTCCAAAACCTCTACAAACAAGAGCGAGCGGCGGCGACAGGGTGACGACGGGTCGTGCAGGTCTGCGGAGCTCAAAAGGCCCAAAATCCAAGGTGACTCGCCGCTGCACTAGCCCTTTACTGATGGAAACAACGTGGTAGACAGCTTATGCTTTACGTAGGTTTCATTCCATGGAGGTACGTCAATCCGTCAATCCCGCGTCCCGGATTGATTTCACAGATGCAACACTGGCGTCTTCGTTGGCGCCAGCGCCATGTGCATCCCTGGCACCCCCTGCTGAGACAACTCAAGAAACAAGAACAATCCGACAGGATCCCTGTGATTTTAAGGGGGGACACACACACACACCTTAAAAAATAGTAGCAATAACAATAATAATCTATCTATCTATCTCTCTCTCTCTCTCTCTATCTCTCTCTCTCTCTCTCTCTCTCTCTCTCCCTCTCCGTTTGCCAGATTTATGGTCTCGCGCCCCCGTGCCCGTATCTTCATGTCCGAAACTGGCCTACAGCGCCTCTCTGCAACGCCTTCACGCGTGAGGATGCTGCTGGCAATGCGCAAGCAAGGGTAGCCAGTATCTCTAGTGGTTCTTGAGCAAAGGACATGTTGGGTGTTGCTTTTCGCATGAGGACATGTTGGCCTCCGCTGCCACACGCCAAATCCGCTGCCCACTCGGCGCTAGGCTTTGTTGTCGCTGCGGGCGGCGCCCAGCCAAGACCCCGCGGCTCACCGAAATGAAAATCTCAAGGAACCTGAGGCGCAAGATTTAAAATACAAAATAGGTATGTGTGTGTGGGTGTATGTGTGTATGTATTTTTTATGTATTTATGTATGTTTGTATGTATGTATGTATGTATAAAATGACTTGCTTTGTTGTGCCTTTTTGGAAGGATTCCTCGCTAGGGCTTGGCCTCACCTGGCTCAGAAAAAGTCTACCTCGAAGTGTTCGGCAGCCGCCTTCTGCTGGTCGGAGGTGTGGTCCTCCTCTTCCACACCTTCTGGGCTGGGTGTCATGGCCGGTCTTCGAGAACTTGAGCTTCTTGGGAGCCGGTGGTGACAGGCTGGCAGCAGCGGTGGTCTGCCTGGGAGGGTCTCCGGCGCAGGCTGGCGTTCATGGCCGATTGGAGACTGTGTGCTTTTGGCTTGGATTCCAAAGAGTTGGCCAGCGTGGGAGAAGACTGACTTGGTCCTCTGCATTCCTTTTTGAGCCCTTTCGTGAGGATTAGTCGTTCTGCATCATCCAAATGGCTTTGTAGCCCGCAGCCGTTGCGCTTGATGGTTTTCCCTCGTTGCAGTGTGGGAGTGGTGACCCTGGTGCTGGCGGCGGTAAGCTGCATCAATGCAGGCACTGTCCACAAAGCTGCGAAAGGTGTCTTCGTTGGCTTGTTTGTGAACGGCCAGCTTGCACTTGCTGCACTGAGATATCCTTTGGACTCCTGGAAGGCACGCTCATCCAGTGTGATTGGATGTTGTTGTTGTACTTGGAGCAGTCCGGCAATGACGCTGGCCCGGGTTGGTTTCTTGCCCACTGGCTTCTCTGGTGAGATGTCTGGTTCCGGAGCTTCGTGGGTGAGTTGGTCACATTCTTGTTGGAGCCTGGCTTCAATGGTCTCCACTGTGCGGCCTTGGTGGACCCTGGTTTGGCAGGTGTGACATTGGTACCCACTTCGATGTGGTTTCCATTGATGTTTGCCAGTGATCCATGGTTGTCGACGTTGCTGGATGAGCCTCTTCTTGTACTGCTTTGTCGTGTGGCCAGCCTTGCTCAAGGCGGCCGGCTGCATGTGTGTAGACCTCCATATTGTCTTGATCCAAAGCGCGCTGCCACGCTTCCGCGTGTTGGTCATAGATGCTGTTTGCCCTGGGCAGAGCAGCGTCCCTTTGGCGTTGCCTTAGGTGTGGCTCATTCGCTGGGGCATCTGGTGTGCGCTGGTTCTTGCTGATGTAGTGGTGTAATTCTGGCGTATGTCTCCACCTTGTAGCCCTTGGGCTAGGTCATGAAATCCTTGGCGTTTCTTTGGGTTGGTCCATGCTTCCCAGACTGAGCCCAATTGCACAATGACCGTGACTGGCGTTTGGACGTACTGTGCTAAGGTCAGGAGCCCCTGGAAATGTGGTCCTTTGGCCATGCCGGTGATGGCCCCAAGTGAGTAGCTGTGGATACAGAGGGCGTAGATCCAGGCTTGGGCACGTTTGTCCGCTGACGTTGGTGTGGCCAACCGTGACTGACAGGCCTTCCCCGGTTGGAGTGGTAGTGGTTCGAGGCTTTGCCAGCATCCGTGTCCATGGAGTTCAAGTGTTTGTTCCAAATGGTCTTGCGGCTCCTTTGGTATCCATCCATGGGCCCAAAGTGGTTCTTCCAAGGGATCTCGCAGCCTTTCAGTCCATGGTATGGGAATGGGCGGATGCATAGCCACAGGATGTGCTTCGGCGCGGCTGGGACATTGCGCAAGGGACACCAGGATCTAATGTGATTGGCCTGTGCTTTAGTGAGCTTCTTCATGGCTTTGTGTGCCACTGTCCCATCAATCCCACTGACCAGGTGTTGGCAGTTCTTTTTGTTGGCAAAGCGGAGCCGTCGTTGTTGCGCTGCTTCTCTCAAGACAGTCTCTTCTACAACCTACCACTCCGCTCGGTCATGTAGGCTGTTTCATGTCGTGTCCAAGTGTATAGACTGCTTGTGGTCCATCCCCATTCCTGCAGATAGGCTATTGTTGCCGCCATTGGTCCCTTTCACGTGGTACCAGGAGTAGGTTTGCTTCCGTTTGCTCGATGCGCGGCAAGTGGTCTGGAGGCCAGTGCGCCAGAAGGGTATGCAGGGCGTGGATGTGCTGGAGGACCACTTGGTCGGCTGGATCCATGTATTTGTGGCTGTATTGGTCGTAGACAACATCTGGTTGCCCACCACTCTGGAGCCCAAGATGGTTGGCTAATGTACGCCGAAGGGCCTGGCGCAAACGTGGGGCTAGGCCCTGACCTTGTTGTATTCCCCCTCTGTGCAATCTGAATCTGGTCTTGAGGTTTGGCAGTTTGAGCGTTCTGAGTCTCAGTCTTCGTTGTCGATTCTTCTTGAATCTTTGTTGGAGGGTTGCAATGCGTCGTCTGCATCCCGCTTGGTGGTCAATGCCAAGATCTCTCATGACCGTTTGGATGGGTGGGTCCTCGGGCTGCATTGGCCAAAACTGCTTTTGGTCCTGTGTAGACTTACATGGCAAATTCCAGTGCAAGTGTGGGTACTGGAGCTCTTGAGCAGCTTGCTGGAGTTTGGCGAGGTCAATGGTGTCGTAAAAGGCGCTCATGTCCAATCAAGAGCACTGCAATGCCATGCTTGGAGAGTGTCTTGTTACTCTGTTAGCGCAGGAGGCGCTCCAAGGCAACATGGAGGGCAGTAGCCCCTGGGCGGGCACGGTCGTATACGTCCATGTACTGGGGAGCTGGCGCTGCCATTAGTCCAAAATGCTCTGTCGTAAACGGCACCAGGTGCAGTAGAGGACACTGGTGAGTGCAATGGGTCTTTCGACCTTCTCGTTATTGCTCATTTGCAGTTGTGTTGTGAGTGTTGCCGTGGTTTCGATATCCTGGAAGATCTTGAGTAGGCCTGGCAGCGCCTGGGGTGGTGCAGTGCGGAGCATTTGGGTGGATATGGCATCAGGTCCACATGCTCGATCTGGCAACTTCTTTAAAGTTTTGGCCAAGTGCCCAATGGTTAGTTCCGGGAGTTGTGCAGCCTGCGTTCGGGCCTCTTGTTGTAGAGTCTGCCTGGGCATGGTGTTGTTGTCCTCCGTGGGTTGCCAATGCGCATGCCAGTCCTGAGCTCTGGCCTCGGTTTGTGGCCCCTTAGCCATGCCGGTGATGGTGCCTTTCCGCTGGACTGGAGGGTTTCCAGCGAGTAGCTGTGGATGCAGATTGCACAGACCCAGGCTTGAACCCGTTTGTCCGCTGAAGTTGGCGTGGCATCGACTGTGACGGATAGGCCTTGCCAAGGTTGGAGTGGCAGTGGTTCGAGGCTTTGCCAACATCCGTGGCCGTGGAGCTCGAGGATGTGTTCCAAATATAGATCAAGCAGGGCGACAACGAAAGATATAGCCACCCTCCAGCAAAGATTCACGAAGAATCGACAGAGGAGACTACGACTCAGAGCTTTGAGGTTGCCGAACCTCAAGGCTCAGATTGTACAGAAGAGGCATCCAACCGGTTTGCTACCGCCAAGCCCTCAGACATGCCTTAGCTGCCACAGCGGAGGGCAAACAGATGTCGTCTACGACCAAAACAGCCACAAGTACATGGACCCTGCCGACCAAGTGGTCCTACAGCACATCCACACCTTGCACACACTACTTATGCATTGGCCTCCGGACCACCTTGGAAGGAGCTTCACAAACAGCTCAGACAGCAAACCTATCCCTGGTACCACGTCAAAGGTCCAATGGCTGCAACCATGGCCTATTTGCAGGACCACAAAAGCAGCCTGTACTCCTGGACACGCCGCGAAACAGCCTTCATGACCGAGGCACACATCGACATGAGAGAAGACTGGCGGGTCGTCGAAGAGGCCGTCTTGAAGGAAGCAGCCCAGCAGAGACGACGAGGTTGACCAGGGGCGGAAGCCAATGTCGGGAACATGTGGCAAGGCCGGGAATGTTCGCAATTGGTTGTCAAGTTCAAGGGCATAGGTGACCAGACAATGTGGTCTCCAGGGGACGGCCCAGTCAGTGGTCATAGATGTGTGTGGAGCAAGGTTGTTGTGGGTGAGGGCGTAGTCCACAGTATCGCCGTTGAGCATCGCGGCGTCCGGTGCCAGGATCTGCCAGTGAAATTTTGAGCCCAGGACAGTTCCTTGGAACTGATTCGGATGCCCAGAGCCCTCAATCCACATGGGCCTTTCATCATCCCACGCTCACTGGATGGTTTCTCAAGAGCCAGCACCGAGTACATGCCAATAGCTTACATATGTCACAGAGGCCCGACACATGACTCTGGACACTACTTCGCGATTCTGGTCTACAGAGATTTGATGGTGGATAGCCGACGATGGAGGCACACCCACTACTGCCCTTTCTGACACCACAGCTTGCTGGCCAAATCGTGCAAATTTGGGCCGTCCAGACATCCGCTTTCGCGACCCCAAGACAAATAGCAAGGGCGTTGCCGGAGCCTGAGACTCCAGACTATGATCCCCGGTCCACAGCACACCGCCCAAAAAGGCCAGATTCACACAGGACTCCATGCGGATCGATGTGGCAAATATTACAACCTTTGGCAAACACACCCTGGACTGGCTTTGGGGCAGAAACAATGACTTACATGTCTTGGTTGAGACTCACCTGGACAAACAAAAGCACAGTTCACTCTGCCAATATTTTGAGGTGCGAGATGGTGCGAGGAAGACACGCCTTTGGCATGCCCGCCCATACCAACGCCACCAACGAAGGCAACCATGGTGGCATCCTGATACTGCACGACACCTTTCATGGAACCACCCAATTGGAGCCATACCACCTCGAAGGATGTGGATATCAAGCCTTCCTTTGGGAAGCCAAGGCCAGATCCATCCCAGTGGCGGCGGTCTACTTCAAAACAAATGAGACCATCCAAGGCACCACCAACTCTCAACTACTGGCGAGGATCCTGGCTTGATTGAAGCGACAGTACATCCTGGTGGGGGATTGGCGATGACCCCTTCATGTGTGGTGGCTCTGTTGACGTGGCCCACCAAGACCATCTTATCATCACCAAGGAATTGCCCAAGTCC